AAATAGACCTGTCCTCATGGCTGTTTGAGGGAAGGAAGCTTGAAAGTCTCATAGAAATAGGTGAAGTAGAAGCATCACTGTCTTTGGCCTCTGGTCAGAGGACCTGGGTTCGAATTCCGCCTCTTGTACCTTCTGTGTTTCAATCCTTGGGTAAGTCACATAACCTTCTTGGCCTCAGTTTCCTTGATAGGGCTGGATTCAGTGGCTTCTAAAGTCCCTCCCAGATCCAAACTTGAGCTCCTCTGATCCTTGTCAGAAGCAGGGTAGATTCTAGTGGAAATGACTCTGGACTTATTTTTGTTTGTTTTAGAGACAGTAGGGGTTATGTGACTCGCAAAGTCGAGAGAACCAGGTTTGAGTTCAGGCTTTGACATTTAATAGCTGTGGCAAGTCCCTTCTGTTTTCAGTCTCTGTTTCTCCTTCTATAAAATGGGAAAAACAGTATTTCCTCCATGTTCCTCAGGGTCATCGTGAGGAAAATCTCTGTAAACCTATTGAAATAGGAGTCTTCGGCACATACGAGGAATTTCAGTGCAGAGACCCTCGAGTGAAGGCTGGTGATCATTCGTAGTTTTAAATGGTACCATAATTTCAAGAAAATCATGGATGGTGTTGCTATTTTCCAACAATGGAAGGCTGGGCCTGAATTTTCTTTTTACCTGCAATTCTGAAAGAGACGCAAAATTAGATTCGTATTCAATACAGACCATACTTTTATAATCATTAAAAGACAAACAACTTCATGGGCATTTACAATGTGCATGGAATCTCTTAGAATATTTTCCTAAATGCATTGTAATTGAAAGGAGGGCAAGGACGAATTAAAGTCCGCACTCCTTCATGTGGCCAGCCTGTCATCTGTGAGCATCCTTATCTCCTGTGCTATTCATCAAATATAATCATATCAAGCTCGTTATCTCGGGGAGGGGGAGGAGTCCTTTAGAGAATTTCTCTGTTTTTAAAACTGTAATTCTGTGACCATGATGAGATAATTAGCACAGTTTTGGGGAATTCTGTGTAGAGTAGGGCTCCTTAACTGTTTGGGGGTCATAGACCCTTTTGGCAGGCTGGTGAAGCCCACTGGGTCCTCAGAATCATGAAAGGAAATACTACTTTTCAGTTAGATGTCAGTGAAAAGAAAGATGTGGTTTTTTCCCTCGTCCAAGTACACAGGCCCCCTGAAATCTCCCGATGGATCCTGGGTTAAGAATTTAGAATTTAGAGAGATAGCTCTCCAAGACAGTCAACAGGTTGCACAAAGTGGGTCCAAACCTTGATTTGTGGCGAGCTGGGTATGGATCGCCCAGGACTTTAGAGCAAAAGGAGAAGGATCTAGGCGCAGAAGTTACTGGTTTCAAATACTCCAGGTCTTCTGATAGATCACATCAGAATTCAACAATGGCCCCAGAGAAGTGTTGAGATGAGTCAACGGGCTGCTGAAAGGAGAAATCACATTAAAAAAGATGAGATGACAGAAGGGGGGAAAATTGAAAGAAGGTCCCTTGTTCCTGCTGGCTCTGTTATTTAAATAGTAAAGGGTGGCTGTGAGGGAAGTGGATCCTCATGTTACTGGTGTGGTTGGAGGTTAATGCTCATACCCTATCCCTGTGTGACCGAGAGTTTGCGACCAGCCTGGGTACCAGCTTCGGCAGGAGCTGGGAGACAGACAACAGACTCGCCTTATTTTGTTATGTCAAAGCCAGCCTTATCCTATCGCTATCGATACCATTTGGCACAGGGCGTATCTAGGGCTGCTATCTAGTCAGTATAGACAGATTCCCCTGCTTTACTTACTCGCCTTACAAAACTTTGGAGATCACCCATCAATCAGGCAACCCTGGTGAAATTTGATTGTGTAAAGTGTAACCCTAGTGTTGGTTTATCCAGGTTGGCTCAGGCAGGGCCTAGAAAAAGAGGCAAAAGCATTTGTTGTTTTCCGTGAAAGAGTGCCTATGTTACATTCACATCCTCTCTGCTGTGCTCACTAATGTTCTCTGAAATGTGGACTTTTCAGGGGACTTTCCAGAAATTAAGGGTTAATCAAGAGGGTGGTTGTGATTCATTGCACATCTGGCATATTGCTAGTGGTGCCGTGACTCTTAGCTGAGGGAGAAAATATTCAATTCTCCTAAATGGATTTGTCTTTGCTTTGCTTTGGATTTGTGGGGCAAAATTATTTTTTTTTTTTTTGAATTGTACAATTAGTGAGAAAATAGAAGCTGCTGGTAGTGCTATGGAGAGAGTATTGGCTCTAGAATCAGGAAGACCTGAGTTCAAATCTGGCCTCAAACATTTACTAGCTGTGTGACCCTGGGCAAATGACTTAACTTCTGTTTGCCTCAGTTTCCTGAATTGTAAGATGGAGATAATAACAGTGCTTCCTCACATATTGTGTGGATCAAATGAATACTATTCACTGTGCTTAGCACAGTGCCCAGTACACAGCAGGCACTATATAAATGCTTGTTCCCTTCCTTTCCCAAATGGAAGAAGCTGCCACATAGAATCAGGAGGCAAATAAAAATCTCAACCAAAGGGCAGGATAGCGACATTTTGGGGAATGGAAAGGACTATTCTATCCTAAGAAAGCGCCATCATCATTGGAGCCTGTTGGCCATTGGCTGTCTAAGGATCCTTGTCAGCTTTTCAGAGTGAATAGCTCTGAGATTCCGAAAGACAGGACCTACGTGGGAGGGCTGGGCAGCAGGGGTTGGGGTAGGAAGAATGCCAGAGTTTTAGGATTGGGAGGGACCCGAAGGGCCATCTCATCAATCCATACTGGACAAGAATTCCTTTTATACCTCACGCAATTATTGCTAATAATCAGTCATCCAGCCTTTGCTTGAAGTCTTTCAGGGAAGGGAGACCCATTAGCTCCTCGGAAGCCCATTTCACCCTGGGATAGCTCTGATTGCTAGGGAGTTTTTCTTTGTATTGCGTCTAGGTTGTTGTCTTTGTAATGTCAACCCTTTGTCCTCATCCTGCTTGGGCCCAGGCAGAACTAAATCCAGCCCTTCTTCCACCTCTCCTGTCCTTGAAGGTGGCTCTCAAGTACCCCATAAGTCTCTTCTCCAGGTGGAACATCATTGGTTCCTTCAGCCCATCCTTGTATGGCATGGACTCTGAGATTACCTCACATTTACACTGTCTCTATCTCCTATATGCACAGTGCTTACACAGCTTACTGCCTTTCTTTTCATCTTGAGTGCTTAGCACAGTGCCTGGCACATAGTAGGTGCTTAAGGCTTGTTGGGGGTATTGATGGTGATGATGCTGCTGGACTCAAGGTCCTTCCCCATCCAGGGCTGCCATCCCCTCAACCTTCTCCGTCTCATGAACATCCTTCCTAAAATGTGGTGCCCTGAATTGAACATAATACTCTAGCTGTGGCCTGGCCAGGACAGAGTGCCAAGGGATTATCAGCTCCCTTGTTGTAGACCTGATGTCTCTCTAAACTCAGGCTGAGATGCCAGTGACTCTTTTGGCTGTTTTGTCACATCGTTACCTCATATAGTGTTGTCAGTTCACTGTTTTTCAGTGAAAAACTGAAACTGGGTGTCCAGTCACACCTTCTGACTTTTTGAACCCAAGGGTAATACTTTACATTTTTTCTCTGTCAAGTGTGATTTGTCTCCCCAGTGTTGGCTCAGCCTGTTGCAATCTGGGCTGAGTCATCCAATACGTTAGTTCACCCTCCCAGCTTACTGTCCCTTAGACATGTGATAGGCGTGCCATCCATGCCTTTGTACAAGGGTGCTTAATTAGCACAAGGACAAATGCTGCGTTAAGGGAGAGACCCAGATGATGGTTGCTTCAAGAAAGAGGAGAAGGGAAAGATTCCTGTGGTTGGATTCACACTGGGATGTGGAGGATGGCTGAGATTCTGATTCAGTGAAGAGGAGAGAGAAAAGCTCTTGGAGCTGAGATGGCAAGGGTGGGGGAGACAACAGCTGGAATAGCAGGACCCAAGTTAGGGAGTTAGGCAGGACCCAGGTTGCAGAGCACCTTGAACATTGGGCTGAGGAGTTGGCACTGCATCCTAGGTTGTGGGGAATCCTCAAAGTTGGGTCTTAAAGTTAGAGTTTTCAGATTCTGAATGTGGCTGTGTTAGGGTGGATGCCTGTGTTCTTGGTAAACCAACTGGAGGTGGGGAGATGGGTGGCCTCCTGCTTCTAGAATTCAATGGGAGGCAGCTGGAAGCTTGATGTGAACCATGAGTGCTGTCCAAGAGTGGGATGGGCTGCTGGCAAGGGGGTGGCTTCTCCCTCCTTTGAGGTGTTTACTAGGGCAGATGGAGAAGATGTGGCTGTTTAGGTGAGGAGTTGTCTAGATGCTGTCAGCCTGGTGTCATGGGCAGAAGAGTGGATGACTGGGCATCATGGAGATGGCTGGAATCCCACTTCTGACACATAAGAGCTATGAGACCCTGGGCAACTCATGCAACTTTTGGTACCATTGACTCTTCATCTATAAAATGGACACAAGAGCATCCTTTCATGGGTCTCTGGTGAGGCTCAGATGAGACCTGTATGTTAAGTGCTTTGCAAACTTTAAGGCATGCTCAGAGTGTGAGCTGCTATTCTGAGGATCTCGGAGACCTCTGGCCATTCTGCAAGTCTGATTTCATGAATGATCTAGCTCTGAGGTGATAAGAGGTTAGGTCAGGGTCTTCTGAGTGGAAATGTACAGACAAGGAATCAACAGACACATGTGTGTGTGTGCATATATACATGCATCTTGGCTTTTGACTTTTTATTTCCTGTGCTTGTCATGTTAAACAGGCAGGATGTCCTTGGTGCTGTCTGTGATTGTAGACGCTTTTGGTTCAGTGCCTACTGAGGCATTAGAAAGGGCACTATCAGTGCCAGGGGATCCAGGTGGTAGAAACTCACTTTCTGGGAATGAAGCTGATGCATCTTCTCTTCTCTCCTACAATTTGTCTTTTTCTTTTGGTATGAAGACGGTTCTTCTAACCTCTTGTTTTTTCTTTTTAAATATAGGCTCTGGCAAGAAGAATTTCAAATCCATACCTAGAACATACTGCTTCCCAGGTATGATTATACAGTGTCTCCATTCTTTTGTCACAACATTTATTCACTAAGGAAAGACATTATTATCACTGGAATTATGAGTTCATTAAATAAATTTCCCCTAATAGCATAGGTTATCATCATATTCTCTCCTGTCTCTCCTTTCCCATCCCTCCCTCCCTCCCTTCTTTCCCTCCCTCCTCCATCCCTTGCCCTATTCCTTTCTTATTTTTTCTTAAAAATATAAGTATAGTAAGTGTATAGCTTCACATGTGTCAATAATGATGAGCGATTTCGGAGTTAAGGCCGTAGTTTTATTTCATAATACTTCAGGATGCATGGGTCTATGGTTTGGATCAGTGCGGTTACTCAAGCCCTTATACGATTGAAACAGTTTTCTTTTTATTATGAACTTAACAATCATCAACAAATATAAATATCTCGTTATATTTATATGGAAAAGTGTTAGCTTCTTTTACATGATTTTTTTTAATATCAACAACAATAATAATAGGTAGCATTTATTTAGCATCTTCAGATGCACAAAGCGCTTTGCACATGTCATCCCATTAAATCTTCACAACAACCCTGGGAATGAGGTGCTACTCATATCCCCATGTCGCAGCCTTCTTGCCTCACCTTTCCACCATTCCCCAGGAACATTGGCTTCTTTATAACATAAGTGTAATTGAGCGGAACAAAGTTACCCATTGGCTGTGTCTGAAAGCATTGGCCCCATCTTCACCTTCAGACCATCCACTCTGCCAAACAGTGGGAGGCAGCCTTTAGCCTCCGACTTCAGAAGTCACTATGGTCAAGTGCTGCTCAGGGTTGCCTTTCCAAGTCATTTCCTCTGTGGATAATGCGAATTATTCTCCTCATTCTGCTCATTCCCCTCTTTGGGAGGGGCTCTTTGACAGTTGCTGTGCCAAAAAGCCACCCTCCCTTGGTTACCACAGTGGTGATCCTCTTCAGACTTTCCTCAGTTGGTCCTTAGATGATGGCAGGCCATCCTTGGGTCTGTACTTGAAGGTATTCTAGACTGGTGTCAGACCTTCCCAAGTTTGTGCTCTGCTGGCTTAGCTGCCAAGAATTTAGGGTCACCTCCACACCAGGATGAAGTGCCTTCACGTGCATGAGCACACACACATGCATGTGTATATGTGTATGTATCAGTATCTATTCACATATGCATATTTACATGTATGTATATATTCATGTGTGTATGTGTGTTGGATGTCCCAAAACCTTTAGTAAAAGTTTAAGCTACTAAAGCTTAAATTTTTATTTTTGTCTCTTTCTGTCTCTATCTCTTTCTCTCTCTGTCTCTGTCTTTCTTTTCCTGTCTCCCTCTGTCCCTTCCTCCCTTTCATACATACACGCACACACACACACACACGCACGCGCGCGCGCGCCTATATCAGTGAAATCAAAGGACAATCCCTATCCATAGGAACAGGACCTATGACTACCTGCATATAGGGAACTCTCAGATGAGAAAGTTCCTCTGCCAATGCACACCAGTATCCGCTCTGCATCCAGAAGTCCCTGAAGGCTGTTCAGAGTACTCTGATGTTAAGTGATTTGCCCAGGGTCACCAAGCCAGCAGATGTGAAAGACAGGCCTTGGACTTGGGTTTTCTTGCCTTTGAGGCCACAATCTCTACACAATGCTCTTTCTTTCTTTCTTTCTTTCTTTCTTTCTTTCTTTCTTTCTTTCTCTCTCTCTCTCTGTCTCTCTCTCTCTCTTTCTCTTTCTTTCCTTCCTTCCTCCCTCCCTCCCTTCCTTCCTTTTTCTTCCTTCCTTCCTTCCTTCCTTCTTTCCTTCCTTCCTTCCTTCCTTCCTTCCTTCTCACTGAGGGCAGAAATCAGAGTGGAGAGGGGACCCGGCTTTTTCATCACCACCAACTAGGTCTGCTGAGCAGCTGCCCCCACCAGGCAGAGAGGCTCAGGAGTCCTGGGAGAGGCAGCATCTCCCAGATCACAGGTCTTGCAGGCTTCCACCCCCCACCGCAGACATCATCTCAGGAAGCAGCCTCTGTGCAGAAAGGGCTAGCCATGGCAGCTGCCGTACCCGGGACAGACAAGCCAGCCTAGAAAAAGGAGCCAGACACCCTGAGGGAGAGAGAGGAGGCAGCATGAACCAGGCAGGTTAGCATCACCACCTTGGGCACCAGCTGGTCTCAGACTCTGAGGGGGACAGCCCAGGACCCTGATCACAAGAGTCTTAGCAGTCAGACTGCTTCCAGTCCAGTGCCCTCAGCCGTCCTTCTGAGAAGCAGCCCCTCTGGAGACATAGCCTGGGTACTACTGCTGCAGGTCCTACAGCCACAACTTCTGAAGACCTAGGCAGGGATGTTCTTGCCCGCAAAGTCCTTGACCCTATCAAATGGTTCCACATCAAAAACTGATATGATTTTATCAGCAAAAACGACATTTAAGAAGAAACGTTAACATGTGCTTGGTGGCTGCAGCCTAAGGAGCATGGGATGTTCTATCTGACTTGCCGCTGAAACCTCCTGAGTGTTGTCTCCCATTAGAATGGGAGCTCCTGGGGAGTGGGGACCGGAGTGCTTTGTACACAAAACTGCTTAATAAATGCATCATTCATTCATTTATACTCTACTGTCTGCTCCTCATCTCTTCTCTCTCTCTTCCTCTCTTTCTCCTTTTCCCCTTTCTTTCCCCCCTTCCCCTCCTCTCTGTCCTTCTCTGTCTCTGTCTCCCATTTCTCTCCTTTCCAGTATCTCTATCTGTTTAAACCTGTGCTTTCATTGGTTTGAAAAGCTTGCAATGTGAAAAGTCTCTCTGTCAATGCAGATCCTCACCATGTGCTCCTGCCTCTGATAGGAGGGTGGAGAGGAGAGCTCCTCCCAGACCACCCTTTGAGGAGGGTGCTCAGCCCAGATATCTCTTCATTTCCCTCCCAGGTCCCCTCCTTTGAAGGTCTCCATCATGGATCCTTTGGGCCCCCTTCTGAACTGTTTCCTTTCCCTGTTACCCCTGAGGACAGGAACTGTCTTTTTTTCATATTTGTAGCCCCAGCATTTAGCAGAGGGCCTGGTGCATAGCAGGAGATTAATAAATGTTTATTGCCTGTCTGGCTAACTGATCTGCAACTGATACGTAGATCAGTCTGCATGTGCTGCCCAGGGCACTGAGGGGTTAAGTCATTTGCCTAGTGACCCATAGCTAGTATATGTCAACGGCAAGATTTGAACTTGGGTCTTTTGGACTCTAAAGTCAACCTTCTGTCCATTACCCCACCAGAAGCATCAAATTCATAGAATGAAAAGGAATACCTTGGCTTGTCTTGAGTATCTAGATGCTACCAGTGTATTATACTAGTATATACTATGCTAGTATATACTACACTATACTAGTATACTTTACTAGTACTCTAGATACTCTGGTATTTAGAGTAGAGAATTCTAGAATCATTATTTTATAAACCTTCTTTATCGTGGGTAGCTCAGGTTGTGGTTTGCTTAGCCTTGACCACATTAATGATGGTTACATTTCATTTGGACAGCAGCAGATTCATAGTTTGGGGAGAGGACCTCGTGATCATTTTTAGGAAATATCGGTTGCCCGTATGTGTGGAAATGGAAGGCTGGGTTCATTGCAGCCTCAGCTTCTCTTGACATCCTTGTGAGTAATTGGGGCAGCAGGGTCACTGAAGGCAGGAGCCGCATGCTTGCCCAAAGTTGAATGGGATGGCAGAAGGAGACCCACTTCTCAAGGACCTAAGGCAGTAGGTCATGGCAGGGGTTTCTTGTGGCCCTGCTTTCCTTGGCAGTGGAAATAATACCAATAATAGTAACCTACATTTCTCTAAGTTGTAATGCATTTTAAAACATTAATAATATTAGCTAGCATTTATATTATACTTCTTAAATATCATCCTATTTGATCCTCATGACAACCCCAGAAGCTGAGTGCAATTATTATCCCAGATGAGGAGGAAACTGAGGCAGATAGAGATTAAGATCTCAGGATCCCACATTTAGTAAGTGTCTGAGGCTGTATTCGAACTTGGGTCTTTCTGTCTCCAGGTCTAGCCTCTATCCACTGTGCCACCTAGTTGCCCATTTGAGCCTCACAGAAGACCTGTGAGGAAGGAAGGAAAGAAGCAAACATTTACTAAGTGCTGACTATGTGCCCGGCACTGTGAGGTAAACACAACAGTAGAACTATTCTCATTTTACAGATTAGGAAACTGAGGCTCAGAAAGGTCTTGTGACTTGTCTATGGCACACAGTAGCAGCAGAGCTGGGATTTGAACCCAGGTCTTCCTGATTCCACATCCCGTGAGCCATCTCCTGCCCCACATACCCTTCCTATGGGTCCAGGAAGGTTGAGGGTGTATGGCGAAAACCGACGCTAAGCAGTCAGTCCATACGTGTTTGACTTACAAAGTGACAGCGCCATGGAACTAGGAGCAGAGCCAAGTTCCCCAAGTGTGGCTCAGCTCCAGTCTCCTCCTTGCCTCGTGACATCTCTCCTGACTCTTCCAGACTCTATTTGTGGTTGTGTCCTCACCAGAATGGATGGGTGTGCTGGAACATGGTGGAAGACTCATTTTTAGCTCTGTTTAGGAGGTGATAATGAGACACGTGCAACGTCTCCCCACGAAGATGTTCGACTTGTTCTCTGTCAGATCTAAATCAATCCCTTTTATGTGCTTTTTTTTTGCTTTGGATGGATGATAGAAACAGTTATGGAGCAGGATGAGAAGCTATATCAGGAGACAAGCCAGGAAAATGACAAACTTTTTGTTTCTATTATAAGACAAAAACCATCGATATGTGTGCCTGAAAGAGAGGAGATGGCCCAGGTGACTGAGCTGCCAGAGCTAAGTGCTTCAGGATCAGCTTTGCAATTTGGAAGAAGGCTGCTGATGTGGGGGTGGGGTGGAGACATGGGAATCCAATACTATATATCCTGGTGCCCTTAGATGCCAAGGTGCTACCATTCCTTCTAAGTCAGCCTCAGAGGCCCCCTGGGAGACAAGAAGATAAAGGTAGTTTTTGTCTTGGGCGACACTATCCTCCCTCACCAGGATCAGCCCCACAGAGCCTCTGAGGTGGCTGTGAATTCTTGAAGGCGAGGCTAGTGGAAAGTAAACTTCAGCAGGACCTAGGGCTGTGGGGCCATAGAACAAAAACTGGAAAGGGCCTTAGAAGTCACCAAGTCCAACCTCCTCATTTGACAGAAGAGGAAACTGAGGCCCAGGATCCTACAGCTGCTGAGGGACTCAGGCAGGATTTGAAGTCTTCCTGACTGCAAGGCCAAAGCTCTCAGCTGTCACATCATGCTGCTGGAAAGGCTTCAAGCAGGGGCCAGTAATAGACAGTGAGAAGCAGGGGCCAGTAAAAGACAGTGAGGATGCGTGCAGGTCAAAAACATTACTCTGTGTATATTTTGTGTATGTGTGAGAGATTGTCATAGTGGTTAAGGAGCTGACGTCAGACAGTCATTTATTAAGTGACTACCATGTGGTAGTTGTTGTGGTCATTTGGTTGTGTCTGACTCTTCGTGACCCCATCGGGGTTTTCTTGGCAAAGATACTGGAGTGGTTGGCCATTTCCTTCTCCAGCTCATTTGACAGATGAGGAAACTGAGGCAAATAGTGTAAATGACTTGCTCAGGGTCACACAACTAATAAGTGTCTGAGGCTAGATTTGAACTCTGGTCTTCCTGACTCCAGGCCCGATGCTCTATCCACTGCACCGCCTAACCGCCCCTATAGCAACAGCAACATGTGGCAGGAGTCGTGCCACTCCAGGGATACAAAGCAAAGCCTTGCTCTCCAGGAGCTCAGGGTTTTCATGGGAACTCCTGCATCCTTGTCCTGGCCCATTATTGGTGCTCTGCACACAGTCAGCCAACCAACACTTAGTAAGCACTTTCTGTATGGCAGGAGCAGTTCTCAGAATCATGGCTCCAAAGCTCTTGGCGGCTATCAGAGACTTTGATACAAAGTAGGAACATTCCCACATTGGTAGGAGACATTTGCTCATCTGTGAATTTTCTGTATTGATGAAATGACAATTCTAGTCCTTATCCCAATAATTTTATATTCACTTCTATACTGTGCTCATTATTTCGTCCTCATAGAATGTTAGCTCTTTGAGGGCAGGGAGTGTTTGGTTTGTGGCTTTGTATTTCTAGCACTCAACATATAGCGGACACTCTATAAATGCATGTTGAATTGAACTGAATTGCCAGGGTAAGTTCAGAGAGCTCATTACCAAAATGTTGGCCCTGAAATTCTGAAGGGGTTTTGTACATGTTACAGCAACAGTGATTCATAAAGACAGTCTGTGGTCTTCCTTAGAGGAAGCTGGTGGCTCAGTGGATAGAGTACTGGGTCTGGAGTCAGGAAGAGTTCAAATCCATCCTTCAGACACTTCCTAGCCTGGTGGGGATTGTCTGACAAAATGGATCCACTATAGAAGGAAATGGCAAACCACCCCAGTATCTTTGCCATGAAAACCTCAAATGGGTCATGAGGGGTCAGACACAACTGAAACATCACCATCACCATCACCATCACCAACACCGTCACCAACACCGTCACCATCACCGTCACCATCACCAACACCGTCACCAACACCGTCACCATCACCAACACCATCACCGTCACCATCACCGTTGCTGTCACCATCACCATCACCATCACCACCATCATCACCATCACCAACACCGTCACCATCACCGTCACCAACATCATCACCATCACCGTCACCGTCACCATCATCATCACCGTCACCAACACCATCACCATCACCGTCACCAACACCGTCACCATCACCGTCACCATCACCAACACCGTCACCATCACCGTCACCAACACTGTCACCGTCACCAACACCATCACCAACAGAATGGTCTTCCTTGCCATTCCTTAACCCCTCATGACATTTGTAAAGAGATGTCAATTTTAAAAATCACTCATTTCCTAGGACTTCTGTCCGGTCTCTCCCTCCCCAAGAGATGTCCTTTATAACGAAGAATATAGAAGAGAAAAGAATCGGTTCATTAAAAACTAATCAGCACATCAACCAAGTCCAGCCTTGTATGTCATGTTCCATACTCATTGCCCCCACCTCAGCAAAGAAGGGAACAAGGTGGTTAATCAACCACAAGAACACAAACCATGCCTAATTGTACCTGGAACAGAGGAGCAAAAGTGTGGGCGGCTGCATCGACATAGATCTTTCAGAGTTTTATGATCAGAGACATTCAAACACAGCGTGTTTTAAATATATAAATGGAGGGCTTGGCCAAGGAAAGGACGCATTGTATTTGAGTCCCCATTTCTTGGCATATAGTTGGCACCTAATAAATGCTTGTTGATTGATTGACTGGAGGCTAAAGTGGGCGTGTGCACCAGATCAGGCAAATGGCCAGATCAGCAGCCCATCGAGAGGCATTTGGGTCATGATCCTAGAACCTGGTTGTGTAAAAAGGACCCCCCCCAATCAAAACAAAAATAATACAGTTATCATTCAAGAAAAAAGAGCAAATCTTGCATCTGTGTCCCTTCCTCTGGGACTTGGGAGATAAGAAATACAATGAAATCCTTCAACTTGGATAAAGAGCAGGGGCATCTACTCTCCGCCCTCTATTTAGGCAGAGAGAAATCCAGCACTTCAGAGTGTAGCAAATGGAGTTTTCCAAACAACTAGAATTTTATTTTAAAAATGAACAAAACTACAACATGTGTGAGTAGCTCTTAGATGTTTGTGTAACTTTTTGCATAATTAAAAAAAATTACAGATCTGTGCCGAAGAACGTGAATGATATGGCAAGGGTGTTTTGAGAGGAAGACAAGACAAAGCGATGAAATTCTGGATCATTTAGTGAATCAGCTGACGATGAGACCATGAGCTAGATTTGCTCCTGCTGGTGCCACACTGTGAACAGATGAGCCGTGAGAAGCTCCCAGTGTGGGTCCAAACACCCCCTGCTATAGGTTTAGGAATGTTCCAACTCTGTGTCCATGTATAAGGTGTTCACTCAGTCAAGGACAAACAGTCCCCTTAGATCTTCAGAGGCAGGTGCATGTATGCGTATGATTATGGGGCAGATGCATTTTGGGATGGTGCTGCACTTTGGCTTTCTTTGGTAAAGCAGGCAGCCACTGCTTTCCTTTAAAGATTAAGAAAGTAGAATTACGGAAAACTTTATTGTGTAAAAGGAAGAGGGATCTTGGAATCACAGAGCTGGAAGGGTCTGGCTCAACATTCATGGATTCTATCTTTAGACCTGAATGAGAATTCCTTCCACAAGCATTCCCCATAAATGATCATCTGGCTTCTGTTGGAAGGCCTCCAGTGAATGGGACCCCCACCCCACTGTGGTTCATTCTGCTGGGGGATGGTTCTGTTAGGAAAACTGTTGTGGTATCAAATTTAAACTTACCTCTCTGCAGATTCTACCCATTTCTTCTAGTTCTGCCCTCTGGGGTGAAATAAAATAGATCTAATCTATCTTCTGCCCTTCAACTACTTGAATATACTTAAGGTATCTTCTCCTCCACCACCACGTACACCTTGATTTTCTCTAGTCTAGACTAAACATCCCCATTTTTTTCAAGAGATCCTCATATTAAGGTAGCTGGATGTTGAAATGGATAATGGATGAAACCTGAGTTCAAATTTGGCCTTAGACACTTACCAGCTGTGTGATCCTGGGCAAGTTCCTTAACTTTTCTCAGCTTCAGTTTCTTCCTCTGTAAAGTGGGGATAACAATAGCACCTCCCTCTCAGAGTTGTTGAGCTCAAATGAGCTAACCTATGGAAAGTGCTTTACAAATCTGAAAGCTTTATATCAATGCTATTATTTGTTGCTGTTAGGTATGATCTTGGGGCCCTTCACTGTCTGGCTTGCTCTCAGTTGAATACTCTTTAGCTTGGGGTGATCCTTCCCAAAACAGAGTACCCAGGACTGAATATCTTGCTCCATGCAGGGTCTTAACAGAGCAGGGGACAGTGGCACACTTAGATCCTTATTTTGGGAACCTTTGCCTCCTTTAACTCTGATGAATTCAATGAAACAGCTTTTGGCATGTGAAAAAAATCAAACAATTAGTAATTTGCATCCAGTTACATAAAATAGCCAATGTCAAAGAGATGTGCTCAAGGTGGTCAATGTCTACACACACACAGGTGTGTAGCACATAGCTTAGTGCTCTGTGTTCTGTGCATGCTGCATTGTGACTCCTTGACAAGTAGAACTTGGCCTTGTGTTTAAAGTCTTTTATTCATTTTTTTTTCATAGATTTATGGAGAGAATTCTTCCTGCGCCGGGAGAGCCCTGAGGAATATCTTTACGGTGCAAGCATCTGACCTGATAAAAGACAGAGTGAACCTTAAGGGTGTTTACAGGTAACCCCATTGATGAATATCATCATGAAAATATCTGTTTAAAATCATTACCTCATTTTCTGACCAGCTGGGGCTCAGGAGGAGTCACAGGGACCAGCCTTGGGCTTGGAATGCTTAACTAACTCACCTCAACCTTTCAGCATCCTTTTTGTTGTTGTCTAGTCAGTTTTCACTTGTGTCCTGTTCTTCAGGACCCCATTCGGGGTTTTCTTGGTAGAGTTACTGGAGTGATTTGCTGTTTCCTTCTCTAGCTCATTTTACAGATGGGGTTAAGTGACTTGTCCAAGGTCATACAACTAGTAAGTGTCTGAGTCAGGATTCAAACTCAGGAAGATGAGTCTTCCAACTCCAGTCCCAGTCGTCTATTCACTATGGTGCCGCCTACCTACCCCTTTAGGATCCCCAACTTTTTTCAAAGTACACTTCAGATGCTACCTCTTATCTGAGACCTGTCCTGACTGGGCTCCTCAGATATGAGTATGTTTTCTCTCTTTGAAATTACTTTGTTCCTTTATGTTTACTTATTGGTTTATTCACTGGATCATCCAAATCAAATAAGAGCTTCATGGGGGCGGGGCCTGATTTGTGGTTGTCTTTTTATCTCCAGCACCTAGGACAGTGCCTGGTGAATAAGCAGACACTTAGCAAATGTTTGAACATGGAGTATGTGGTGGGTGACTTTTGAGATCCCTCAGTAGGCCATGTGCTCAGAGCAGGTCCATTAGGGACATGAAGTTTATGACTCCAATTAGGGTATTGGTCAAACTTGCCTTCAGTACATACTGGGAGGGGGCTATCTCAGGCAAGGCCTACCCTTACCTCTACTGGAACTTTCCTTAGCTCACATTCTGTCATCCACACATACCCCAGGAATTACTGGCTCCCCAGTAGACTCAGCTATCAGCACACATGGATTAAGTGCTTTCTGTGTGCCGAGAACTGTGCCGTGCTACGTGTTGGAAGTTCTTTGGAAGGCTAGATGCTCAGGATCATAGAACCTGACAGTTAGAAGCGCCCTAAAGGTCATCCCGTCCCATCTTTATCTGTAGATATAGATAACACTCCTGCTTGTCTAACCTTTGCTTGAAGCCTCCAGTGAGGCTGAATATACTCCTGAGACAGCCTCAGCCAGTTTTGAGTAATTCTAATGTTAGGGGGTATTTCCTGAGATCAAATCCAAATCTGCCTCTTTTCTCACTCTATCTGTGTCTTCTGCACAAAACAGGACATGTCTAATTTCTCCTTCATGTGACAGCCTTCTAAATCCTTTGGTAGTACAGGCTCTGGGGCTCATTCTTCCAAGCTCACTCAGACCAGCAGATGAGGTCCACAGAGGGCAGCTGAATACTGTTCCCTGCAGGGCTCTCAGGGATAATTCAGAAGGATTGGGGATTTGAGAATAGCTCACTCATGAGTCCCCATCAATATTCTTCCCATTGATCATTAACTGATATCAATTAGCCAGCCAGACTTAATTAGCTTTTAGAAATGAGCTTTTGCTAAGATGATCTAATAGTGAGACAGCACAAAAGTCCGAGACGCACTCCAGTTGGAGGTTTTTGTCTAAGGCCTACAAGGATGTGAGTCTTCAACCAATTTCAGGGCACTCCTTATATTTACACCTAGCTTAAACATTTGATTGGTTGCTTATAGAACTCAACCCAAGAGGCATTCCAATTGGATAAAGGTACAGGGGTGTAGGGAATTTTGTTTGAGACTATAATGGTGACTCTTTCAATCACCCTCCCCCATCCTTATACATTAACAAGCTGTCATGCCCCCTCCCCTCCCTCACCCCACTCTAGTCTTCTCTTCTCCATCCTGAACATCCCCAGTTCCTTTGACTGATCTCCATGAGGCACCAACGTTTGGGTTTTCATTATCCTGTAGACCACCGCTGGCTTCCCTCTGGTTTATCAATGTCCTTTTTAAATAGTGGAACCCAGAACTCCAGACAGTACTCTAACCAAGGTCAAATACATTGGGACTATCCTTTCCTTAGTCCTAGATTCTTTGTCTCAATGCAGCCCAAAATCTCCTTCAGCTTTATGGACATCATATTATACTCTTTGATTCAGATGGGTCTTGCAGTCCACTAAGACCCCCCAGATCATTACTTTACATTTATATTTTTTGAATTTCATCTTATTAGATTCATTCATTATTTTAGACTAAAGTTTGCAGGATCTCTAGAGACACTAGTATAAAAACTGTACAGAATTCTATCTTCTTAAAAATATCACAGGTAGATTCTTAGACCAAAACTTCCCATCCTGCACCTGGTCTTTTGAAACCACTCACTGAAGTAATATTGTAAGCAGATAGATCTGTCTTGCTGTATAGAGAAGCTGGCATGATGTAATGGAAAGAAGGCTGATCTTGAAGTCAGGGGAAGCCTGGGTTCAAATCCTGCCTCTGATACAGTGCTTTTTGAATGTGAATGTGAACACAAGCAAGTTAAACTCTCCTGTACAGCGGTAGTGGCACCTCCCTTCCAGGGTTCTTATGAGGCTTAGGTAAGAGAATATGAGCACTTGAAGTAATTTCTAGAAGTCAGATAATATTGTTGTTACTATAATGGTCTCCATCTAGAGCAGGGCCTATTTCTGGTTCCTTGTGGGCACTGGCAGTGAGCTGACAGCGCATTGACTAGTCTGTCCACATCAACCTGATCCCGCAGCCTCGGTGTCTATGGCAGCTCTCAGTTTTATTTCTTCTATCTCCCGGGGGATTGACTGAAGTTATTTTTTCTCCTGGAAGAAGCTGAGAACATAGAAATGAGTCAGGATCTTGGAGGAGACAAGTGATGCATGAAACACCCCACCTGTTCCTGGACGTGGGAGATGGGGTAGAGAGCAGGAGGCTTGCTATTTCAGATCCCTGGCGATCTGCCAGAAATGGTTTTTTCTTCCATGGACAGAGACACAAGTCGCTAACACGATGGCAAGGAATAGAGTGTTTCCTATTACCGTGAGCTCCACAAATAAATTGAAAAGCCACATTGCCAGTCTGCTTGCAAAACAACTTCATCCGGGAGACTTTGAAATAATCTGTGTGTCAAACACTACATTTCCTCAATAGCAGAAGTTGGAGGCTGGCTCCCAAGCACCTTAGCTGGATAATTTAGCCACTCACTCACCTGTGCAGAATGCTGATGGCTAACGCGCCTGGGTGCTTCCTCATGACTCAGAATGAACATCTGCTATTTCAAAGTCTCAAGACGTGTCTATGTTAGAAGATAATAGGAGCCAGATCTGAAGCTGAGGAGGACCTTAGGGACTGTCTGGTCCAACATCTTCATTTTATACATGAGGAAACTGAGATTCAATGAGGTTAAAGGATTTGCCCAGGGGTTGAACAGAGCCAAAAGACAACATACACGATGACTGCAACAACAAAATGGAAAGAACAGCCACAAAAACCCCCCAAACTCAATGTTGCAAATTTATAAAGAAGAAGCAGGAGTGGAAGGAAGGACATGAGAGGACACTCCTAGCCAACTCCACCCCTGCAGATGTGGGAGGTCCACAAAGTGTCTCACGTTGTACATATTTTCAGACTTTTTGGCTATATAATAATAGCCAGTATTTACATTGATATATTGGTCAGTTACGCTGATTTTTTCCTCTTTTTTTTTTCTCGTTCTTTAAAAATAGTACTTGTCCTATGGGATGACTCTCTGGGAGGTTATTAGGGAAGGATACTAGAAGAAACAATGGTGATGTAAAAAAAGAAAAGAAAGATCTCAATGAAATTTTTTAAAATAATATTTTATTTTTACCAATTGCTTGTAAAAACAATTTTTAACATTTATTTTTAAAAATTTTTTAGCTTCAAATTCTCTCCCTCCCCTTCCCCTTCCTTGAGATGGTAAGCAATTTGATATAGGTTATACATGTGCAATCATGTAAAACATATTTCCATATTAGTCATGTTGTCAAATAAAACATAGACCAAAAACCCCCCACAAAAAATAAAAGTGAAAAAAAAGTCTGCTTCAATTTGCATTCAGACTTCATCAGTTCTTTCTCTGGAGGTGGATAGCATTTTTCAGAATTGTGTTGGGTCATTGCCTTGATCTGAGTAGCTAAGTCACTCGTAGTTGATTATCATATGATATTGCTATTAATGTGTACGCTGTTCTCCTGGGTCTGCTCACTTCACTTTGCATTGATTTGTGTAAGTCTTTGTAGGGTTTTTAAGCATCCTTGTCATTTCTTATAGCACAGTAGTATTCAATCACAATCATATACCACAACTCGTTCAACTATTCCCCAACAAATGGAAATCCCCTCAATTTCCAATTCTTTGCCATCACAAAAGGAGTAGCTACAAATAATTTTGTAAAAACATGTCCTTCCTCCTCTTTTTTCATCTCTTTGGAATACAGACCTACTAGTGGTATTGCTGGATCAAAGGGTATGCAGTTTTATAGCCCTTTGGACATAATTCCAGGTTGTTCTTCAGAATAGTTGGATCAGTTCACAACTCCACCAACAGTGCATTAGTGTCCCAATTTTCCCACATCCTCTCCCACATTTATCACTTCCCTTTTCTGTCACATTAGCCAATCTGATAGGTGGTACCTCAGAGTTGTCTTAATTTGCCTTCTCTAATCTATAGCGATTTAAAGCTTTTTTTCATATGATTAAAAACATTTTTAAAAAGAAATAATTATCAAGGGCTGCTTATTCTATGAGAATGCTTGCTAAACCCCAAGGTTTTTTTTTTAACAGTGCTTATTAGAATTTTTGTATCAACAATAATAATAATTGCTGTCATCCATAGAGTGCTTTGAAGATTTGAAAAATGCTCACACACATTGTCTTTTTTCATCTTCACAATGAGTCTGTGAGGCTAGTGCCTCCAAATCAACCGCTTTTCATTATATCATCAGGCTAATTCGCTAATGAACCCTGGGGGCTCCTCACAGGTCTTCTGCTGTCTGTGCTTTGAAATCTTTAAACTGATTGCTCTTTGTGGCATCACTGTTAGCATCTAGGCAGCTCACCAGGTCAGGCATCATTATCATCAGGGCTCTCATTTAGAGAAGTTGCTTCAAGCTTTTAAAGCATGCTACAGCTGTTATCTCATTGTTACCTCTCCACCACCCTGGGAGGGAGGTGCTGTCATCTTCATCGTCATCCTCATCATCCCCATTTTGCAGATGAGGAAACTGAGGCTGAGGTCTCACGGCTCGTCAGTGTTGGAGGCAGGATTCAAATCCTCATGACTCCAGGTCCTTCATTCACTCTTTCCAGCACCCTCACTTTGCCTCTTAGAGATGCTTTGTCCAAAGTTCCAAACTATGACCCCATACAGACCTCCTATGTTGAAGATTTGTTACGCATAGTCTTCCTAGCCTACTCGGCCTTTCCACTGACTGTAAGATTAACTCTTTCAATGGCTGTAAGTTCTACTTTTCAAATTTTCACAGCTCATAGACCATATACTGAGAGCCAGAAGAGGCCTTGGTGTGCCTCCCACTCATGGTATAGACAAGGAAACTGAGGCACAGGGAGGTTGTCAGTCATTCAGTCAACAGGTACTTAGTCAATGCCAAGTACGATGCTAAGCTCTGGGGATCTAAGGTGAAAATCACCTCTGCCCTCCAGGAGCTTAAATTCTAATAGTCAAGAGAACATGAAAACAATGATGTAATATCTGTATCTGTAATATAGTTGTCTATATTATATGATGTAATTTTTAATTATATATCTGTATTACGTATATATCACATATACACATTTCACATATGTACTCTATGTACACGTAGACACATATACGTATACGCTGTGTATGTGTGTGATTCGAGCTGAATCTTGAAGGGAGCCTGGAAAGTCAGGAGGCAGAAAAGAAGAGGAGGAGGGGGTGGAGGAGGAGGAGGAGGAAAAACAGTGTTCCAGGCATGGAGTGAAAGAGAGATAGTGTGGTACAGTGGAAAGGGCCAGATTTGGAGTCAGAGGACCAGGGTTCAGATGGCCCTTTGCCACTCACTGGCTGTGTAAAATGGAGCAGGTCATTTACAGTCTTGAATTGTCTTCCACCTGTCCAACAAGAGCATCAGACTGGACATCCCTGAAGGTCTTTTTTACTGTGAGATCTGTTCACCCCTGACCAGAGTGGTGGGATACCTCAGAGTTCATGTCCTACCAGATCTGGGTCAGTGTCGTTATCTTAGGGTCATGGGTCCTTAACATTAGGAGGTTGCTTAGGGTGATAGTCTAGACCAGGGCTTCTTAACCTATTTTGTGCCATGGACCCCTTGGCATCTGATGACCCCTCTGGATCCCTTCTCACAATTATGTTTTTTAAATAATTGAAGGAAATGCTGGGTTTCAGTTAGAGGTGAGTGAAAATGAAGTCTTTTTCACCGTCCAAGTTCATGAACTTCCTGAAATCTCTCCACAGGAAGCAATCTGTGGACCCCATGGTAAGGACCCTCAGTCCAGCTCATCCATCCACCCCATTTCTGCTGAGCCTTACTTTCCTCATCAGTGAAAGGAGTCTCACTAGCTGCCCTCTGTGGTCCTTGCCAGTTCCAAATCAGAAGCTTGGATGTGAGACTTGTCTCCAGCCTTTAGTACTCCCCTCCAACTTCTCCTTGAGTAAAAAGGTTTTAATTCCATCAATATCAAGCTCACCCCTTCTGGACCTTTCCCAGTGGATCAGTGTCTTGCCTACAATATGAAACCCAGGACTGAGCTCGGTGAACCCATCTGGGGTCTGCCTAGGGCCCAGGACACTGGGGCTATTTCCCACCTCCCTCTCCTCATTCGCCTCAATGCTAAGGCCATTCCAACACTTTGTTCATCTTAGAGTCATTTACAGTTGTCCTGTGTTTGTCTAGGAGGAGCTGTGTGGGTTCCGAGCTCGTGGACTGGCTTTTGGAGAACTGTCCTTTCGTTCAGTGTCGCTCCATGGCTGTTGGTGTGTGGCAGCTACTTCTGGACATGGGCATCATTCTCTCAGGTTTGTATCCTAAAACCAGCGCCTTGGGATCTCTGATTTCACTGCCCTTTCTTTATTGGGCCTGTGGCTTCATCTTTGTGTGGCATCCCCATTTTGAAGGCTCCTTCTATCAATTCAGGTCTGTACCTTTTATTTTCTGTCTGCACCCTATAATCTTAGTGAGTTTCATGGGGCAGTGAGATGAGTAAATGACTTACCCAGGCTCACCCAGCCAGTGTGGGTCGCAGGTGTGATCTAAACCTAGATGTTGCTGGTTTGGAGAGATTGGCTCTATCCACTACTCCAGTATTGATACATTTGCTGATCAACTATAGGTGGCCTTACCAAACCAAACCTTGCCCCCTTTATAAAATGGGCAGAAGCTGAGCACACCTCATTTGTATTGGCAATTCCCCCCCCTCCCCGAGCCACCATGAATATCTTTGTATTCCTCATGCCATGGAGATGGTTTAGGTGTTGGGGGCAGTCTTTTCTAGACAGGTCCTGGTCATCAACATTTTAGAAAGATGCTTGGTGACCTACCTGCTAGGACAGAGAGAGGACAGGCTCTGTTCTGTTCCCAGTCCTCTCTCCTCTTCCTGGGACACTCCCACACTGATTTTTTTTTTGTTTTCTTATAGTTTTGTTTTTTTTTTAAACTAAGGACATCTTGAATTACTATATGTTTGTGGGTTTTCCTGACTGGTTTGTAGTTGTTTCCAGAGACTGGTTTGTCAGATGGTGAGAAAGCTTGCTTCCTTTTAAGTTGGACTTAGGAATCCCCAATTCCCAGTTACCCCGCTGCATTTGAAAGGGGAGCCTTGGCAGCTTAATTGGAAGTGATTGATGTCAATTCCTGTGGTTTGGCAGGGCGTGGGTGGGGAAGGAAGGGTTCCATTCCAGGAGATGAGGATTCTTTATCTAATGTTGCCAAGGCGGCCCCTTGGCTTTAGATTGGAACATTGAAGCCCTGAAGGTTGGTTGTTACTGGGTGACCTTTACCCTCCAGTGAGATGGTGAAACCGAGAGCCTGGACCTTCCCAGGGTGGCTCCAGCCCAGCTTCCCAGGCTGGTTACATATTACTTCCCCTTAGATACTTTGTGTTCCAGATGAACTAACACTGTTCCCTCTAGTTGATATCTCATCTCCCACCTCCACACGCTTCCACAGGCTGTTTCCTCTTGCTTGGCATGCTCTCCCTCTTCTTGGTATCCCTAAAGTCCTTCAAGGCTCAGCTTGAGTCCCTTCAGCCTACACAGGGACCTTTGCTGATCCCCCTCCTTCATCCCAAATATCTTCTATCGACTTCTCTCTTTACTTGTGTCTAAGCAGAATGGAAACTCCTTGAGGTCAGGGGCTGGTTTTGTAGGGTCATAGCTTTAGATTTGGAAGAGACTTCAAAAGTCATTTACTCCATTTTATAGATGAGGAAACTGAGGCCCAGGGAGGTTGAATATCTTGCCTAATGCCATGCATGTCAGGGTCTAAGTGCAGAGAAAGTGTTCTTCTACTCTGCTGTGCTGTGTTCCTGGGGTTAGTGCGGTGCCTGGCATTTGTTAATCTATTGAATTGAATTGAAGTGTATTGACTTTTTAAAAAAAAACCCTCCTGGTCGCATTTAGAAAATGGAACTGATTCCTATTTGGCATCTGAACGAGTTAGTGTTTCTTGAAATCCAGCGGGCAGTAGGACAGGGCTCAGTCTTGATGACCTGAGGCCTTGTCTCCAAACCTTGGACTTGTCCTGTAGAGTCGTTAAGATGCTTTCCTTATTTTTGAGTCATTTACACTTTTCCTTCCCTCTTGGGTTCATTTCCTGTTGTTTCTGTTTGCCTAGGTCATTGAAAGAGTTGCAACAACCACAGGAAACTTAGGGAGATCTGCCTGTGAAAATGCAAGCATAAAGCGGAGGAATAGTGGTTCTCTTGGGAGGCCTGGGAGGGACCCCTGGGACCGAGGATTCTTGCTGGTCTGATCAATCTGGGAAGACTTTGAGCAGGTCTCTGGTAATGGAAGGTTGTCTAAGGCCCGCCTAAGTAGGGGCAAGGAAGCTTCTGGGAAGCCTGACTGGGGCAGGAAGCTACTGCCCAGTTCTGCTACAGGGTGAGAGGCAGCCTAGAGGCCTTGAAGACTTAAGTTTGAATCTCACCTTTGACATATAGAATAGGTGCTTAATAAATGCTCACTGACTGACACTTACTGGCTATGTGACCAGAGGCAAATCACTTTCCCTCTGCCTCTTTTTTTATATCTGTAGTACCAGGCTTGAATGAAAGCATCTATTTGAAGTCCTATGCGACTCTCCATTGTTATTATTATAAGGTGCTGAATTTTTATGCCACATAGTAATAATTGCTAATATTTCTATGGCACCAGAAAGCATTTTCCACATTATTGCATTTGATCTTCATAACCATCTGTGAGGTAGATGCTGTTATTATCCCCATTGTACAGATATGGAAACAGAATCTGAAAGTGAATGACTGGTACAGGTCACCAACGTTGGGCAGGATTTGCACATGTATGCTGGAATGGGAAGAGCTGGCTCTGGGTTCAGAGGACCTGCATTCTAGCCTTCCTTCTGCTGCTTCTTATCTGTGTATTTTTGGGCAAGTGGCTTCTCTCTGGGCCTCCGTTTCCTCATCTGTTAGATGGTGGATTGGTTTAGATGGCTTCTCAGGGTACTTTCCAGCTCTCCATCTCTCTAGTTTTCTCTTCCACATCTAGAAAAGGAGGGGGTTAGACTAGCTGACCTCAAAGGTCCATTTCATCTTGAAAGTGGTGATCCTAGGAATGCTCAAAGACTGTTTACTAAGTTAGAGAGGGGCTGCAGCTTGCATCTGAGGAGGAAGTTATTCACAAATCCTTGTAGCTTTGAAGTTTAAAGAGAAAAGACAGCCATGTTGGGAGGCCTGGCATTTGAAAAGAAAAATACACATGGTGTCCCTGTGTCTGTGACATGAGATAAAAAGGAAACCTGGGTAGATTTTTGAACTAATGGATCCCTTTTTGTTTTTCCCAGTGGACCAGCATCTGTATTTCCAGGACACCTACGTTTTCTACCAGTTTTCCTCAGATGAATGCAGCTACCTGTACTGTGAATACGAAAGGGCCGAGGAATGGCAGAATGGGGTGCGCCTCCTGCTACAGCTGGTGCCGCTCAGCCCATCAAGGGGGGACGACTGTGACCTGTAAGTCACCCACTCCTCTCTGACTCAGCTTCTTCTCCTTTCTGACTGCTATGCGGGGAGGTGCAAATCAAGAGGGTGAGAAAACCCAAATTGGAACCAAACAGCGGCTTCCTGGGGTTCATCTATCTTGGCATCAGCCAAGTTGTGACTTTCTTTCCTTAAGAGCAGGGCTCAACAGCCTGGTGGGAAATCATGGGAATACAACATTTGGCAAATTAAAATAAATGAATCCTGATTACCATCACTTGATAGGGAAATGCTATATCATGAATATGTAAAAATGGGTGAAAAGTAGCAAAGGAGTTCCAGCTGGGACAGGGGGCTGGAGGTGGGGGCCAGGGAGGGGGCAGGAAGATGGATTTGGGTTTTTAGCCTAAGGCAAGTCCAACTTAAAAAAAAAAAGAAAGAAAAGTTACTTCCTGACCTTTATCCATAACCAAAATAACCATTTTCTTTTACCTGATCCTCATTATATGGTAGAATTGATTTTAACCCTCTTCAGCTTGGTGGCTTTGAGCCTGGTCTGGAATGTGCTAGGCTCTGAAACGATCGAGGTCCTTTCATGGTAAGCAGCAGGTATATGACTTAGCTTTGAAACAGCACAGATTCCCAGCTTTGGAAGGGAGCTTCAAGGCTGTCTCAGCCCAGATCATGACTGACAGAGAATTTCTTCCACCCCCTCCCCTAGGAGGGGGCATACCACCTTTCCTCGAGGAAGTCCGATAAGGGGAAACCCACGGCACATTCATTCCTCTCTGTGTCATCACTATTTGTAGGGAGTTTTTCCTTATCCTCAAGCCCAGATTTGCCTCTGAAACTTCCACCCATTGCTTCTGGTTCTGTCTTGTGGACCAAGAAACACAAGGCCCACCCCTTTCCACCTGATGGTCCCTCAAGTTCTCAAAGACAGGTCTTTTCTCACCCTCTAAGTCTTTCCTTTTCCAGGCTAAACATCCCTATTTCTTTAGCTGGGTCTTGAAATGCACAGGCTCAAGGTATTTCACTATCCTGATCGTCTTTCTCTGGACACTTGACAAATTATCATTATTTCTGGTTTTTCCCTTAAATTATAGTGCCCAGAAATGAGCACGGGCTTGAAGTGGGGTCTGGCCCGTTCAAAGGCAGCAGGTCTATCTCTTCCCTGGTCCTCAAGCCTGTGCTCCTCTTAATGTGTCCCGAGGCAGCAGTGACATCTCTTGGCTTCCACCTCACACTGTTGGGAAAGTGATGCTGGCTCTTTCCTGGATTTTCACTAACAATCCCTTTGATAATCTCTTCAGAAATTTGCTGAAGCTGATGACAAGCTCGCTGGCTTGTTGTATGAAGATGCTATTCTCTTTCATTTTTTAAAAAGATAATTGAGACATTTGCTCTTCTCCCAGTTCTGTGGTCACTTTCTCATTCTGCCTGGTCTTTCACCTAATCATCTCTGAAAGTGGCCAGGCCATACCTGTAAGGTTGTTTTTAAGACCCCAGAATATAGTTCACCTGGACTAGATGACTCGAAATTATCAAGTGGGTTATTACTGTGCCCTATAGAACTCATCTCTTTCTCATTCCCATGCACATGGTCTGTAGTATATGCTAATACTGGTATCACTTCTGAATCTGTTCTTGTTTAATTTTAACCATATAATCTCCATTGTGATTCCTTGGCCACGGTGCCTTGATTTTCTCACATGAATATATCTTTATCTGAAAAGCCACCTTTCTCATCACCTCCTTTTAATCTATCCTGTTTCTTTTAAATAAGGTCTATCATTCCAGACAGGAAGGGCAGTTAGGTGGTGGAGTATAGAGCGCCAGGCCTGGAGTAAGGAGGATCTGCTTTCAAATCCAATCTCAGACATTTACTAGCTGAGTAGCTCTAGGCAAGTCATTTAACCCTGTTTGCCTCAGTTCCTCATCTGTGCAATGGGCTGGAAAAGGAAACGGCAAACCTTTCTGGTGTCTCTGCCAAGAAAACCCCAAATGGGGTCACAGAAAGCTGGAAATGATTGAAAATGATTCAACAACCCCCCACCACCACAACAAATCCTTCCAGAGCCAAAATCCAGTCATGGTCTCGTCTTACCAAGGTTTGGTAGTATCTATAATAACAGAGTTTCCTCCTTGCATTAGAATCTCTGTCTTTTTCCTTGTTATCCATATGTTGTATATTTGTATGTAGATGGTGAGGCCATGGGATTAATTAGTGGCTTTTTTCTTGTATTTTGTTTCCCTTGAACTGAATGTTGTAAATCTCTATTTTTTTATACATTGCATATAGTCAGTATGGTTTCTGACTTGATGACTATAAGCAGGCAGATTTTCTCCATCCATTCCCTTTTATATTTTATTCTTTTGATTAGATTTTCAAGACTCCAGGAATCCACATTATTACCACCCCTTGTTAGATATACTCCATCCATGTCCTGGGACCTGTTGAGTAGACAGCATGGGCTTGTTCAGAAATAGAGGAAGATTCATTCCTCCTTCAGATCCATTTGAGAGTTTTTGAAAAGGCTGCTGGTTTATTCACACATTGGCTCATTAAGTGCGTACTAATGTGCAGTGCCTTTTTAGCTTCTGCAGAGAAGCAAAGATAATACCAACCTTGCTTTCTAGGAGCTTTTAGTCCATTAGGAGTGCTAAAACCCATACACAGATATAATGGGTATTGGTAAATGGATAAGAAGTACCAGTAGAGTTCTATTGGAGAAGAGGAAGATGAGGAGCTATTCTTGCCTATGGGGTTGAGGGGGAGATGGAGAAGTGCCATTTGAGATGAGCCTTAAAGAAAGGGTAGGATTTCAAAAAGGTAGAAATTAGTGGTGCTGTAGACTTTGTCCCAGTCATGGTGAATGATGGGAGTAAAGGTGTGAAAAGTGTGGAACATTTTCGGCAGCTAGAAAGATAGTGGGAAGCCTGAATATCAGAAGACATTGAACTTTATTAGGAAGGCATAGAGGAGTTTTCTAAATGGTTTTGAGTAGGGAAATAATGTGACCAATCCTTTGCTTTGGGATGGAGAAATCTGGCAGTAGTGTGTAATATGACTTGGAGAGAGAAAGGATAAAGACCCCAGGAAAAGAGTTCAGAGGGCATCCTGAATGTGAAAAGCCCATGGAAGCTTCAGGGGGCTATATAGACAGGTACAGTGGTGATTATAGTTAGTATTTGTCAGAGGGTAGAAAAAAATCCTTTCATTCTGCATATTTCCAATGGAGCTAGCCATTTTCTGAGAGCAGGTGGATGACATGTTCATTTGAATTTTATGAGATTTTCCAGGAAAGGATAGTGGTTTGGTTTTTAAGCATTTGTCAATTATTCTCTCTCTACTTCTAGTCCATCACATTATGAGTCATCTATACACTAATTTGTAAATGGGTCACTGATAAAAACATGTTATTTGTGTTTGTATCCCATACATTTGCATAATGGAGCAGAGACTACATTAATTCTTGGAAATAAACTGTCACCCGGGGTCTCATTTTCTGGGTCTATTCACCTCCATGTGACATGGATGACTCGGTGCTGAAAACAAGGAGGAAGAAGAGAGGGCTGTTTGTCATTGTCCAGAGCTAGGGAGAAACTGCTGCTAAGTTTCAATGAAATCCCTTCCTGGCTTATCCAGGATAGAGAAAAAGTATGGCCGAAGGAAAGCCAAAGGAAATACGATGGTGATGGTGATGGCGATGGTGATGACGATGGTGATGATAGTGATGATGTTGGTGATGATATTGGTGATGGTGGTAATGATGGTGATGATATCAGTGATGATGTCTATTTTTGACCAAGCCTGTGAGCTTTAGAGGGGTTCCTGGTGAGGAAGCTCCCTCTCCCAAAGCAGGTCTGTACCTACTCTGCAAATTCATCTTAGAAAGTAGCTTCTCAGGGGCAGCTAGGTGGCACAGTAGATAGAGCACTGGCCCTGGAGTCAGGAGGACCTAAGTTCAAATCCGGCCTCAGACACACACATAACACTCACTAGTTGTGTGATTCTGGGCATGTCACTTAACCCCATTTGCTTCGCCAAAAAACAAAACAAAACAAAACAAAAAAGAAGTACCTTCTCTGTAAGAGGCAACATGGCGGTAGTGGATAGAATGAGCCTCAGAGTCAGGTAGACCTGGGGTCAAGTCTTCATTCTGACATACACTGGCTGTACATCTCTGGCCTAGTCACTTAACCTCTTCTTCTCAGTGCCCTAGGCAATGATAATAATATTGAGCTATTGATGAGAAGCAGCATGGCCTGCTGACTAAAATGCTGGACTTGGGACTCAGGAGGGACTGGATTCAAATCCTGCCTTGGACACTAATTAGCTGTGTGACCCTAGGCAAGTCACTCTCCTTCTCTGAAGTTCCTTTTCCTCATTGGTAAAATGGGCATAATAATATCTATAAGGCCTACTCCCTAGGACTGCTTTGTTGTTGCTCAAATTAGACAGGTGTGTAAAATGCTTTGAGATCCTTGAGGCACTCGACAAATGTCACCCATTCCTGTGAAATGTTTTAAGGTTTGCAAAGGATTTTGTTATGTGCTGCCAGCTTGTTTGATCCTCACAATGCTATGGTGAGGTAACAGTGTGGTGCAGTGGAAAGGGAAGCCAAGACTACAAATCCTTTCTCTACCTCTTCCTACCTGTGTGACTTTAGGCAAGTTACTTCACTTTTTTGCTTTTGTAAAATAAGGAACTGGCAGCAGTTGACTTCTAGGGTGCTTCCTAGCTCTTAATCTATAATGTTATTATCATCCCCATTTTGTAGGTGGGAAAACTGAGACTTAGAGAGTTTAAATTTTTTTAAATCAAAGAAGATGAAGAAGGGAAGTAGGTTAGGGAAGCTGAGACTGGCTGGGGAACACAGATTCTGGTGGCAGTGTGGGGATGGCCATTGCTGTATTCTGTTTTCCAGAGGTCCAGCAGACCATCCCCTCTCTGTTCCTCTCCCTTTGCATTTCTGATCGGAGACATCTCCTTCACTTTCAGAATTATATCTATAAACAAGATTTTCTTT